ACCCTTCTCTCCATGGCAGCTTCTGGCCCATCTCTAAACTTCCGTTCATCTCCAAGATCTTGGAAAAGGTTGTGGCTAAACAACTCACAGCTGCTCTTGATGAACATAACATCTATGATTGCTTCCAGTCAGGTTTTCGTAGAGCTCATTCTACTGAAACAGCTCTTCTTGAGGTCTCTAATGACCTTCTGACTCACAGTGATGCAGGGGACTGTTCTGCTCTGGTTCTGCTGGACCTGACTGCAGCCTTTGACACTGTTGATCATCACATGCTACTAGATAAGACTGAGAGACTGGGTAGGCCAATCAGGAACTGCTCTGGAATGGTTCTCCTCCTATCTATCAGAGTGTTCTATCTCCAAATTTCGGTCTTCTACCACCTTCCTCCCCCATGGTGTCCCACAAGGCTCTGTGTTGAGGCCTCTACTCTTCCTCCTCTATCTGCTTCCTCCGTAGCACATCCTGAGCTCATTTAACCGAATCTCCTACCATCTTTATGCAGATGACATCCAACTGTACATCTCCATTAAGCCCCATGAGATGTCTAAGCTGCAGCTGTTACACACCTGCTTAGACTATTAAAACCTGGATGGTGGGAACATTCTACAGCTGAATGAAGATAAGACTGAGATCCTCATCTGTGCCCCAGACAAGCTGGTTCCCAAAGTCAGAGACTCTCTTGGTCAGCTTGCTTCTCACACCAAACACTCTGTCAGAAATCTTGCTGTGACCTTTGACCCAGCTCTCACCCTGGATTCTCATGTCAGTTCTCTTGTTCTCTCTTCCTTCTTCCATCTCAGGAACATTGCTAAGCTGAGTCCCATTCTGTCCCGCTCTGAACTTGAGACAGTTCTCCACACCTTCATCTCCTCACGCTTAGCGACTACTGTAACTCTCTTTTCACGTGTCTGAGCAGAACCTCCCTGAACCGTCTACAGGTGGTTCAGAATGCCTGTGCTTGGCTTCTGACCAAGTCCTCCAAACACACCCACATCACCCCGCTTCTCCTCCAGCTTCATTGGCTGCCGGTTAACTTCAGGGTTTGTTTCAAGATCCTGGTTCTGGTCTTTAGGGCCTTACATGGACAAGCACAATCATATATTGGTGATCTTCTCAATCCCCACACGGCCAGCAGGTCCCTGAGGTCCAGTGACCAAAGCCTACTGGCTGTGCAGCACACCAGGCTAAAGGCTAAATGTGACAGATCATTTGCTGCTATGGCGCCCAGACTCTGGAATTCTCTCCCCCTAAGCCTGAGATCAGTGGACTTCTTTAAATCTCACCTGTTGAAGCTGGCTTTTGCGTGACCTTCATCACCACTCTCTCCTTATTCTGCTCCTTCTACTTATTCCACTTTACCCGGGATTCACTGATTTCCCCCTTTCCTATTTTCTCTCTCCCTTTTCTTACATTTTAAATCACAATTTTTTTTGTCATTAACCCTCTCAGTCTCAAAATAAGTTTTGATAAAAGGGCGAACAACCAAGTCCTTCAGGGGTACTTCTGAGTAAAAAAAAATGCTCATGAAATACGTATGTGGAGTAACCAGGTAGGTAGGTTTTAACGTTGCAAATCTGCAACGCCTGCCTTCAGAGGGTAACAAAAATGTTTTTAAATATTTTTAAAATCTTATTTAATATTTAAATTTATTGTTTTGGTGAAGCGCCTCAGCCCTTTTGTTTTTTTAATTCATCTGTACTTTAATCTTTCAGTTTTTTACGATATTATTGTAGTTTGATTTCTACGATGGACTGACACTCTGTCCAGGGTGTACCCCGCCTGATTGCCCATTGATTGCTGGAGATAGGCACCAGCCCCCTACATGGACAAGCGGGTTCAGACAATGGATGGATGGATGTAGTTTGTTTAAAACTTGAAATCTTTTGTGTTTTGTAATTTTAATGATCTTTTATCCTTATTCATAAAATTTTGCTGTTCTTTTTTATGATCATTCTATGACTGTTTTCTTTGGGTGTTCTCTGTTCTTTGTTTGCTCTTATAGCTCACAGGAGCTTTAGAAACCTGAAACATACACTACCATTCTGTTGCAGAAGTTCCCATAACGTGTGGCACTTGTAGGTTGCTTTGCTTTCATTCTTCTGTCCAGTTCATCCCAAATCAGCTCGATGGGGTTTGAGTCTGGAGACTGTGCTGGCCACTCCATGTTTACAAGCTTACCATCTTTTTCTTTTTTCCCCGAGGTAGTTCTGGTAGAGCTTGGACTTTTGTTTAGGTCATTATCTTGCTGTAGAATGAACCCCTGACCAACTAGGCACACACCAGAGGGAACTACATGGAGCTGGAGAACGCTGTGATAGACGTTTTGGTTCAGGGTGCCTATCACTCTGTACAAGTCACCGACCCTGGATCCAGTAAAACAGCCCCAAACCATCACTCTTCCTCCTCCATGTTTGACAATTGGTGCCACACACTCTGGATCCATCCTTTCACCTACTCAACGGCGTACATGATGAACCGAAGATTTCAAATTTGGATTCATCAGTCCATAATACCTTCTTCCAGTCTTCAGTAGTCCAATGGCAGTGTTTCATGGCCCAGGCAAGTCTCTTTCTCTTATTCTGTCGTCTTAGTAGTGGTTTTCTTGCTGTAACTTGCGCTGCCCAACCTGCAGCTCGAAGTCTTCTCTTTACAGTTGAAACTGAGACTTGCTTAATACGACCACTATTAAGCTGTGCTTTAAGCTGTTGTCCTGTGAGCCGCAGGGTTGGGTGATGGAACGAATGAATCAACCATCGGCGATGGCCTGAGCCGTTACGGTTGTTATTTTTTTACAGGAGGCGATTTGATTATTTATTTATTTGTTTGTAATTGAGTAACATGTCACGCACAGAGAACATTGCAGAGGTAACAATCAAGAAAAGATCTCCATCAGCGCATCTGAGCCTTTTCTCACCTCCTCCGCCTCTCGCTGCTGACAGTGCACGCGCAAGCAGCGCGCTGAGGAGGGGTTTGGAGAGCGTCTGTGACGCACTTGACATCGTGCACTACAACGTGGCGTTGAGTGGAAAGTGGAAACTCTTCTATCTTTCAGAGTCTGGAAGACTTCTGATTATTTCATTTGGAGGAATGTTTCCTGATTTAAAACTTTGACTAAAGTAGCGCTCGTTGTTATTCAGGCACCTGCTTTGAGTGTGTCAGCAGAGCACGGATCCATCCAGAACATTATTTAAACAGCCATGAGTCAGTCTGAGCCAAAGGTCTAGACGGTCATAACCTCTTCAGCAAGCTCCCTAGAGACATTTGATTACACACAAGCTGCAGGTGACCAGTTCAGGTTTACGTGGCGCAGGAGGAATGTGCGTTCGAGCCACAGCAGGTGAAATGTTCCTAACTTAAGTGAAATCGTTTAATTGCATTGTTCATGTTACTGGGGCTGATCAGCTTGGTTGGACTAAATATTAATTTAAAATGAATGGAAATGTAACGAATGATTATTCATTATTTTAAAAATGAAAGCGATGGGGATAAATGGATCACGTGACCTCAGGCAGCGCGCTGCGTCCTCAGGGTACATCCAAACGCAGCAGTGATTTAGTCAATCCCCACTTATAAAAGAAAGAACCCCAGAAGTTTTTGTTCAGAAAGAAACAATTTGCTTAAATAAAAACCACAACAGTGGGCACCACAGGGAAACAAATACAAGGCTTCTTTTAACATTTTAACCGTGTTTAATACAGGCTGTTTGTACGTCACTCTACCAAACTACAAATACAAAATTAAACAAAAAGAAAAATATAAATTTCTCTTCCAGCAAACATTTGTGCTGTGCTTGTTTTAAAAATATCTGTTTTAGGCTTCTTCTGTGTTCGCAAAGCAATCCGTGCGTCATGACGTCACATGCACGAATAAATCGTCCATAGTCTTTTTGTGGACTGACGATTGGCAGTGGGGAAAATTATACAAATTGCCCAACCTTAGTGAGCCGCCTATCACGTAAGCCGTTAAATCTCAAAAACTTGCTCTCGGATGCAGTTGTGGCTTTGGGTCTGCCAGACCTCTTCCTGGCAGAGTTTGCCCCAGTTTCTGAGTGCCTTTTGATGGTGAAACTGGACTCACTGAGACCTTGACTTTCTTTGCAGTTTCTCTGTAGGAAAGACCTACATTTTTAAGTGTTATGATGGTCCTCTTCCATTGTTAATTGCCTTTTTTCACCATTTTTGTAGCTACACAATATTATCTGCAGTACCATACTGTTCAACTGATGCTCACGAGGGTATGGTACCACAGTGTGTTCCAACACTGCTTTTATGCATACAGAGGGGGTTGTAAGTAATCCAGAAAAGTTGGAACACCTGTGGGAATTAGTAGCACCAGCTTTCAGGGCTTGGTCAAGCTCCACTGCTGCAGAACAGCTGTGTTCCCTGAAAAAGGCCTTTTGTATAATTCTGAAAAGTACATTATTTTTCAGTTTTGAGTACTGGTAACCTTACCTATTGTAACCTCTGTTAGTTCATCACTTAACTTTGTACCATTTCAAGCTATTCATTGGACCTGAATGACCTAAACTGCACCAAATAACTGGAAACTTGGGGATTTCTAAAACTTTTGACCGGTAATCTATGTTCTGGTATGTTTATGAACTTAGATTCATTTGAGATTAGTTGTGATCGTCTGACAACCCTTAGACAAGAAAACCAGATCTTCTGATCTTAAACAACTTTAGAGTAGGGGTGTCCAACTCTGGTCCTGGAGAGGCCCCATGAAGCATGTTTTAGTTGTTTCTCTGCTCCAGCACACCTGGTTTTAAGCAGCAGATGATTAACAGGCTTCTGCAGAACTTTTTGACCATTGAATCAGGTGTGTTAAAGCAGAGCAGAACATGCTGGATAGTGGACCTCCAGTTCAGAAGTTGAATAGCCCTGTTTAAGAGAGAATAATTACACACAAGTTTATTTAAAATTAAGCATTACCGACTCATGTAAATAGGTCTATAAATGTAATGTGACCAGGTCTAAGAAAAAATGAAACCTGTATCTCACCTTTTCCTGAAGCTCCCGCAGCTCTTGGCTCTGCCTGCGGTGCTGCAACAGGCTTCGCTCATCTGATTCTCTGGACTGCTTTAGAACATTAAACTGTAAACAGACAAAGAAGAAAATTACACAGAAAACCAAACAAAAAGACTTTTCCTCTTGGCACCAATGCCAGAAACAAACAGCAAATTGAGTGATCTGTAGTAGGATTCAATGTATTGAAAGTCGTATGCTGGAGGGAAAATACACCAGTACACAATTTTCAGGACTTACAAGTGAACCATGTCCCAGTTGAGATTCAGACGACAGGAGCTTATTTCCTAATATTTAGACATCTCTCCTTTGATTGGCTAACAGCAACATGACTCTACCAATGACTGTTTGCTCTGCAATGCTGATGTTTTTTCTTCACAAACAACACAAGGGGAGGACTGAGCATGCATTGACGGCCGATCACCGGACACACGGCAGTGTTTGAAGCAGATGGCAGCTCGTTAACCAACTTCCACAAACAATTAAGACGCATTTTCGCCTAATTTATTCAATGACAACGCAAAAAAATAAATAAATCTGGTAAATATAAATCACTCAACCTGGAGGTAAGTGGAGAAAATTTAGAAAGTTTGCAAACATATATTGACAAAGTTTTTGAGTTTTTTTGTCATGGGACCAAAGAAATCAGCAGCTGAGATGGAAACACCTGGGACCAAGAGGAGCCGTCCCCAGGACTCGCCCGAAGCTTCATCTCCCCGTAAGGATGTTCTAGATTTACTAGAATCCATAGATAAACGGCTGCTGGGATTTGAGGCACGACTCCACCTGCTTGAGCTTCTTCACAAGGAGTTCCAGGACCTCCGAACATCTCTCGAGTTTAGCCAGGAGCAGGTGGAGCGACTCATGGCTGAGAATGCGTCTCTGCGGGAATCGGTTTCCTCCTTGACTGAAGGATTTGATCGGATCTCCCAGGACAACAAAGTTCTAAAGGAGACGGTTCTGGATCTCCAACCACGCAGCATGAGAGATAACCTGGTGTTCGCAGGCCTTCCAGAGCAGACCGGAGGAGAAGCGGAGGATTGCGAACAAACCATCAAGAACTTTCTCCACACCCACATGAAGATACCTGAGGAAACGGTTAAAAACATCACCTTTCATTGGGTAAATTGCTTTGGAGCCAGGAGAACAGACAGCAGAAGAACTCGTCCCATCGTGGCTAAATTTGAGCACTTTAAGCAGAAAGATCTTGTTAAAAGCCGCGGGAGAGAGCTTAAAGGTAAAGACTACAGCGTAAACAACCAGTTTCCTAAAGAAATTCTGGATCACCGCTGAGTTCTCTTCCTGCTGCACAAGAAGTTCATCCAGGATGGGAAGCGGGCTGTGATCTCCGTGGATAAACTGTTTGTTGACGGTAAGATCTACAAAGAACGAGGAGTAACAGCCTGGCTTTATTAGACAAACTTCAGGTAAAACTTTATTATTATTAACAGCATTCACTGGGCTTGAACATGTCAGGATTTATAGCCGCTAGATCCGTGTTTAGAAATGTTCACCTGTTCCCTCACCACCTCACAGCCACAACACTTTCTTTTTTCTTCTTTTTTCCTTTTCTTAACCTTTATAATTCCTTTATTTCCCTGTTTTATCGGCTTCTGGATCTTTACATCTGCATGGCACGATTAGCTTTTTTTTCCTACACTGCAGCAACACGCACAGAACGTGCGCGTGCACACACGCACGCATGTACACCCACACCCACACACACACACAAAATCCATATGCACAGTCACACACGATAAGTAGCCTAAGGCGTTTCATTGCACAATCAAAACACTGTTGGTCTTGTCTTATTATTTATACTAAATAATTATCAGCCTTATTATCTTTATATTAATATTGTTAAAATATGATCATTATTTTTAATATAGCTACTATTATTTATTATAAATTTTGCAAATGATAATAATGATTATGATACCCTTAGATCTTAGAATAAACTCTCTATTATTTATTATCAGATTAATGTATGTGTTTAATTACTTACTTTATCTCATACACATGAAGGCGTCATATTCTAGCTACTCACACACACATCTATGGGTGCACTAAGGTTTGTCTCATGGAAGGTAAATGAAGCTGGCTCCAGAGAGAAGAGATTAAAAAAATTTTGATCACTTAAAAAGAGTGCAAGCAGACGTAATATTATTACAAGAGACCCAAAGATCTGCCACATCTGCAGATGAACTTAAAGAGCAAGTAACGTCTAAATTAACTTTTTTTTGCTGATGAACTGTATAAATGAGTGTCTAATAGTGTTTTAAATGTGTGTATTCATTATTTTAGCATTTTGGTGCATTTTCTTTAAAAATTAAAGATTCTGCCTAAATACCACAGTATAGCGCCACCTTCAGCTTAAAACATAGAATTTGACTCATTTTGAATAAATTTTAGCCAATGGCTAAAGAGTAAGATACTATGTAAACCAGTAGAGTACTACGTAGCAGCTCTGTGTCAAAGTTATAAAGCAACGAGCGTCTCGGCCACGCCTTGTGGCGAGTTGGGAGTTGGATTTGCAAGCGAGTGTAGGAGGTCAGCCGTAGTTCAGCATTAGCATATAGCATTAGCATACCCTAGTCTTTAGCGTAGCCTTTAGTGTTATACATACTTATTTAGTGTTAGCTTGGCTGTTGGATATTGTAGTTTAGTTAGTGTTTGGCTGTTAGTGTTATTAGGAAAGTAGTTCAGGTTTAGTGCTCCATATCGTGTTAGTATGCTGTGAGAAGGTGAAGTGTAGTATGGCTGCGGTGGCTCTGTGGGGTTGTACTCCTTTCCGCCGGACTTAGAAATTAGGCGCCAGTGGTTGCGTGTCTGGAAAAGATTCAGCTCCCGCCGGGTGCTGTAGTTAGCAACCAGCATTTTACCTGCGATTCTGCACGTCTCCGTTCCAAGAGTGAGGTTGTGCCCACCGTGGCTCTTCCGCGATTTTGATGCAGCCCACCGACTCTGCTCCCCCACCATGACGGGCTCCAGTCTGAGGTGAGTAAGCTAAATAAAAGTTTTAACATCTTCTAAAGACAATTCCCTTCCTAAATGCAAAGTTTGAGAGACGTGGTTCACCCCATTTAGCTTTTATCAGCCTGCACTGCCTTCGGGCTGATTTGTCAAGTTCACAAAATGTTGAACGGGATGTAAGGTTAGAATCAGCGGCCGGCTGAAACCTGGCCGACAAAACGGTCCACATGACTGTCAGGCTCAGAGAAAATTCGGGTTGTTTTTGTGTCAGTCGGAAATTCTGCAACAGTGGCTCTAACTAACGCAGCACTAGTTGACAGACATCATTACAGCGTGAAATCCAGCACCGCGTGACCCGGTTCCGTGAGGAATTCTGTTCAGGAGGTCGCATTTCAGGCTCTCCACATCATATGTGACTGACTTTTACATTATATTAACAATCACACACAAGGAATGTTATAAAGCGCCTATATAGGACAGTTTCTTTTGTATATTATCTGACTTTATAAACAACAATGTGCTTCTATATTTTTTTTTCAGGCTAAATCTACCCAAGACACTGGCTGTCAGACTGATTTAGTAATCTGCAAGAATGCACTTGTCCAGGCTGATGTGAAGCTTTACCGGCGTAGCAAAGGTGAATTCTTTTTAATAATCTTCTATGTAAACATTTTATTACCTTCTAGTTTTAATTTGTTTTACAGATTGTTGTTACACGTGATTTTATGCTCTTTTAAACGTTTATAAATGTGCTGCTTCTTTGTTTTTTATAGAGCTCACAGCCTCAGTGTGTCTTGTGACACGGGGACCATGACAGAAATTCATCTTCCAGAAAGTCCCAGAGCAGCATCCACACTCCCTGAAAAGACCAAGATGTGAGGTGTCTGCTGTTGATTCCAGCTTCCACCTCAGTGACAGTGCAAGCTCAGTGAACTGTTCAAGGTAAAAAAAATTAAAACATCTGAATTTTTAAGATATTAACAATTAAATAAGTATGTGATTACATCATGACATCATGAAGGAGGCTACTGATTCTGGCCCTGTGACACTTGGTGGTGACGTGTGAGCTGATTCACCTGGTAAATAACTTTTACATTAAATATTTTGTTTTTGCTATCAAAAGTAATTTAACTAATAACCTGCATTATTGCAGGACACTCAGCAAAATATGGACTCTACACCATGAGGCAGGCACACGTTAATACTCTATAAGAGCACATAAGGTGAGCAACACCACATATTATTTTTATTTCTGTACACTGTCCTGGATTTGTTTTCTTTCTGCATGATTTGTTTTCTTTCTGCATCTCATCATTAGCCTGGCTGATCACCTGATAACTCCTGTCATCTGGTTGTGACAGCATGAGGATGTCCTCACACACCTGTAACCTATCAGCTCATCTGGCAGAATAGAGAGAGAAGAGACAACACCACATCTCCTGTTCCTGGAAAGCCTTCAGCCATCCTTCGATGACTGAGAACCTCCATCAGCTCTGTCTCCTGTCTGCCCACAATTATTATAATAAATATTGTGTTTGACAAGTTTTTTGTGCTGCCAAATGTCTCATTTTGATTCCAGTTTTGATATTTTAATGGATATTTATAAATTACATTAATTGAATTATCACATTGTTGCATGTTTAACTAGCTCTATTGTGATGAATTAAACTAGCACCTCACTGTTAAAAGCTCGTTTTAATTTCAAGCATGTTTAAGTATTTATGGACATGAACAAAAATAGGAAATATATCAATTGAGATTTATTTAATTAATATAACAAATAAGGGGGAAAGAGTCATTGAAAGGCACATTCTTCTGAGAGCTCCTGATCCTGACGACACCAGCAGGAGACCAGCTGCAGACACCAGAGGATCACCTGCAACCAAGAGCAGCTAGTATCAGTAAATAAATAATGAAATCAGGGCAGTTTTAGTGGGCTGAACACATTACAGAATAATTTTCTCATGGGATATTTTCATAACTTTATGCAGCAGACTGTAGCTTGAGCCCAGATCTCCTGGAGAGCTATCCAGCACATTTCAGTGGATTTTCCTGCTTTAACAGGTTAGATAGGCTGTTAGGCAGCTCAGCTATTTGTTGATGATTAAAACCAGGTGTGTTGATGCAGATAAACCTCTAAAACATGCTGAATACTAGCTCTCAGGCCGTGGAGCAAAACCCTGCAGCTAATCTGATGCTATGGCTAATGGCTACTTACCATTCAGATAGTTCTGTTGGGTCGGTTCCGGTAATTTCAGGCAACTCACAAGCTCAAAACAATAAGGCTCAGGTCCGCTTGTCTCCTCCAAATAGACTTGGTCCCTTTCTTCTCGAGTGTCTGGGTAAGGAGGGGGAGAAACGTCCTCCACTTCTAATGACTGCTCAGAGTGAAGGGAGCTAGCATCGTCTAGTTAGCCATCGTCTTCGTCACTGCCGCGGCTCCGCCCTCTCGGTCCTCCAGGCAACGCCTACTAATGTTGCATTTTTTAAAATTGATACGTGGGTGAAGAAAGGACTCCGAGGCACACTTTACCTGCTCTTTAAAACACCTGAGTTTCCCAGCATGTTCTCTGCATGCTATAACTCTAGGCAAAGGGGTGTAGCTATTTTAATACACAAAAACATCAATTTCACAGTATTGGACACAATTTCAGATCCAGAGGGTAGATTTATAATACTAAAAATATCTATACAGAACCAAAGCTTATTTATCATCAGCATACTGTATACTGTCCAAATATCGATGACCCTCCATTCTTTCATATTGTTTCTCTGTACTCTCCGAACACTTGGACTGTCCACTTATACTTGGAGGTGATTTTAATTTTTGGATGGACGCTTTGACAGACAGGCTCAGTAAAGCTGGGATTCAGCGCAATTGGCAATCCGCTAACATAGTTAAACAGTACATGAGTGATTATGGGCTTTGTGATGCATGGCGATCTCTTCATCCCAACCGTAGAGAGTATACTTTTTTTCTCACACGTCCATCACTCTCATTCACGTTTGGATTATTTTCTAGTCAGGCGCTCATTGCTGGCTGACATTTCAGACACTGAGATACACCCCATAGCTGTCAGCCACCATGCTCCGGTTTCATTAACTCTGGTAAACAAGAAGACAATCCCACCAAAACAAAAACTGGAGGTTTAATCCATCACTGCTTAAAGATGAAGGTTTTATTGATTTTTTTTTAAAAAGGAGTGGGCTTTATATTTAGAACATAATGACCTGCCTGGAAAATCAGCATCTATTCTCTGGGAGGCAGGAAAGGCAGTGATGAGAGGTAAAATAATCTCTTTCTCATCACATAAAAAAAAAACGAAAAACAAACGTATTCAGGAGTTAGAAGAAATTATTAAGCCTTTAGAGGCATCCACAGAAGAAGAGTTACTGAGCAAATTACGTAAAGCTAAATTAGAACTTCATGGAATTATTGACAAAAAGACAGTTTTTAGCACAAAGACTACGAATAGAAAACTTTGAACATAGTAAAAAAATCAGGCAAAGTCTTAGCTAACCAGTTAAGAATAAATAAAGAGAAAACTACCAAATCTGCTGTTAAAGACTCAACCGGGAATATAGTTAATGACCCTGAAAGAATAAACAACACTTTCAGAGACTTTTACCAAACTTTGTACTCACCACAGATAAACCCATCAGATAACGAGATCGATGAGTTCCTTGACAGGATAACACTTCCTAAATTATCAGACAGCCAAGTTACAGTCCTGGACTCGCCACTAACCTCAGCGGAGCTCCAGGAGGCCCTTAAATCCATGACAAATAGGAAAGCTCCAGGTCCAGACGGGTTCCCAGCGGAGTTCTACAAAGAATTCTGGATCATTCTGGCTCCAACATTTTTCAGAATGGTGAGGGAAATCGAAGAGAGCGGCAGATTACAGCCAAACATGAATTCAGCCAATCTTAGTCTTTTATTAAAACCAGGCAAAGGCCCTGCATTTCCTACCAGCTATCGCCCAATTTCCCTTATTAATCTTGATCTCAAAATAATTTGTCAAGCCCTGGCAAAAAGATTAGAGAAGGTAACCCCCTTCATGATGCACCCTGACCAAACTGGTTTCATTAAGGGTAGACAGTCATCCACAAACTCATGTAGATGACTTAACTTGATAGATTTCTCTTACAGAAGAAACATAGAAACTAGTATATTATCTCTAGATGCAGAAAAGGCTTTCAATAGAGTTAACTGGAAGTTCTTATTTGCAACTTAACATAAATTTGGTTTTGGGAACTTCTTCATAAACTGGCTACAAACATTATACAGTTCACCAACTGCACGTGTCAGGACGAACGACCAAATATCAGCTAGCTTCTGTCTTCAGAGGGGGACCAGGCAGGGATGCCCACTCTCCCCATCACCGTTTGCTAACTTTATCGAACCACTAGCGGCAGCAATTAGGCAAACAACAGGTGTTAAAGGCATAAAGTGTAAGAAAATAGAACATAAGATCAGTCTTTATGCAGATGATGTTTTACTCTTTCTCCAGAATTCTCAATCCTCTGTCTCCCATTCAATAGAACTGATTCAGATTACTCAATAAACTGGTTAAAATCCACAGTTCTACCAATTAATTTCTCTTTTGTCAATTTGCTTAATACACAATTGGAGTCAGGGAATATCAAATACCTCAGAATTAATATCTCTCCCAAGTTGGCAGATCTAACCAAACTAAATTACATCCCACTTTTAAAGAAAGTGGAAGATGATCTTGCAAGATGGAAATCCTTACCAATACCACTAATGGGAGGGTTGCTATAATTAAAATGATGGTCTTACCCAGAATAAATTACTTATTCTCAATGATCCCAAACAAACCACCAGCTGACTGGTTTAGATCTCTGGACTCCTCAATCACTAAATTCCTTTGGCTGGATAAACCTCCAAGAATTACCTGGCTGCATGGTGGTGCAGTGGTAAGCACTGTTGCCTCGCAGCACGAAGGTTGCAAGTTCGAAACTCGGCTCGGCTGCTGCCTTTCTGCGTGAAGTTGCGTGTTCTCCCCATGCATGCGTGGGTTTCTTCCGGGTACTCCGGTTTTCCCCACAGATCACAACATGCCCTATAGGTTATAAATTGTAATCGCTTTGGATAAAAGCGTCTGCTAAACAAATTAACATAAACATAAACATAATTAGCTTAAAAACTGTTTAGAAGAACAAAGATGGAGGACGGGATCTATCCAACTTTCAGCCTTATTTCTTAGCCAACAGGCTGCAAGATATACCAAGATGGATGCAAAATAACCCACTAGATGAGTCCTGGTTAGATATAGAACAGACACTTTGCAATACGACAAAGCTTTCAGACTTACCATTTATTAGCTCAAGCATAAGAAAACATGAAGGCTTCAAAAGTATTTGTATCAGCATCTCTCTGACAGCATGGTGGGAGTATCTTAAAATGACGGAGTCTTCAATAATACCATGCAGACGCACACCTATCTGGAATAATCCTGATATTTTGCAAAATAACAAAATGATGAACCTTCCGGACTGGAAAAGTAAAGGAATCCTATACCTGGAACACTTATATGAAGGATTGGACTTCATCCCATTTAATAGAATAGTCTCCCAATTTGGAAAAGATAAGAATAGCTTTTTAAAATATCACCAAATTAAATCTGTAGTTAAACAAAAACTTAAGCTCAATAAAACAGAATTACAAACACCACCAACGGTATTAGACTTCTACAATCTCAAACCCCCAAACTACTATCTAAAGTTTATAAGACACTGTCCAAAATAGACGATAGAATAGACGTTCCTTTGCGGTTTCCTGGATACTAAACTAACAACAGCCTTCCATGTCATGAGTCAATATGGGTGAGTTCCATGTGGCAGGGCAACACATTCTCACACCCAAGGCATCAAAATTTGACTCGTGTGATCAAGCCTCAATATATGACAATTCATGATGCCCCAGTGCGTCAGGAGACGACAATCAAGGACAAACAGCTGACGTAGCGTCCCAGAGCGTCAGTATCCGACGCCGGTGGTGAGACGGACATTAGAACTACTTGTGAACTACTTAACCTTCCCCTCACCCCAATCTTAACCTTATGGTCACAGTTTATGGACCTTAAGGTTAGGATTGGGGTGAGGGGAACGTTAAATAGTCGAATAATGTCCGTGTGACCGCCTGCGTCTAACAGTCAGCGGAGCCACACGACCCAACGTGCCCCTGATCGTCGTCTCCTGACGCGCTGGGGCGTCCAGAATCGTCATATATTGAGGCTTGGTCACACGCATCATATTTTGACGCCTTGGCTGTGAGAATGTGTTGGGCAGAGGTGAGGTGATGCTCACTCCTCACCCCTGCTACATGGACTTTAAGGGATAAACCATCAACCCTGCTCAATGGTCACCTTTCCTGGAGGGGTCACCCGATAAGACAGTGGGAGGGTAAACTAGAGCCCTGCACTGAAGCCCTAGGCCCTCGGGTCAGCCCGGCCCGACGGCCCGACGGCCGGGCTTCGGGCCAACGACTGTGTAATTACCTCGGACACGGGCCGGGCGCCTTTA